AGGAATCTCATATATGGTACTGGGAAACACTGTCTTCCTTCTGGGTCAGGAGTCATAAAGGTGTGGGCATGGAGACCATCTTGAGCCAAAGAAAGAAATTCTGTGCAAGAAAGAAGTCAACATTCTGAAGAAAGCAAAGCCACAATATGAGACAGAGAGTTCAAGCTTTGGTATCTCCCTGTTTACACTGCAGCTAGCTGGACTCATTTTACAGGTATGAGAGATAACAAGTCCTTTTTCTGTTTTAAGTTAGTATGAGTTTGGCTTCTATCACATGTAACCAAAATGTTCTGATGAAAACACACTTTACTCAATAGTCAAAAAGTTTACCAAAGAATTGTAAAGGTTACAGAAAAAGTAAAACAAAATAAGCTATATTATAGGTCAATATTATATTAAACTGATCTTGAAATGGGCAAGGACTTCCTGAGTGTAAGAGTGATAAAATGGGCAATGACAGTAACAATTCACAGGAGAAAGAAATCTAATAGCCAATAAGCACATAAGAATGTTCAAGCTTGTAATTAAGGCTGTCCAAATCCAAATGCAATAACATTCTGACTTATAAAATAACATTTTTAACAATAATACTTGATGTCTGTGAAGATGGTGGGAGATGAACACCCTCATAAACTGCTAGTAAGAGTGCAAACATTTTTTTCTAAGAATAATATGAAATATGTATCATCTAATTATCTTGCTTCTTGGACTCTCCTGGGAAAATAATGAATAGTAAAAATTTATGTGTAAGCGAGTCTATGGCAGCTCTATTTTTAATAGTAAAAGCATAGATATAACTTAAGTATTCCACAATGTGGTTATATTGCATAATACTTCTAAATAGAAGGTAATTCAGCTATTAGTATGTTAGAATAATATTTAGAGGATATGCACATGATGTAATGTTACATAAAGGAAGCAATCTATATTTTATATATAGCATATGATTGCAACTTCACTTTTTCAAAGTCTCCATGTAAAAGGACACAGACTAAATATTAACAATATTAATTGAGCAACTCATATTTTCTTTGTTTACAGATCACTAAATTTTCCCGGGAAAATATCAGATTAAAAACTTTAAAGAAAGCATATGACCTTGGCTAGTTGTGTCCTTGTCCAGGCAATCACCTTCAAAAACTCATGAATCAATTGTATTTTGCCTACTTGCAGCAGTTCCTAAGAAATTAAGAGGTACTCAAAATTGAAAACTAGTTGATTAAAATAGTACTTAACACAACACAGGGCTGAAAGGGGCGTCTGTGTGTGAAGGTGAGGGAAAGGGACCAGAAGGGGAACAAATCACCCGAAGAATAAGAAACAACAAAGATCAGTGCTTTTGTTCAACCTGAAAAAAACATTTACATTTAGTTTTCAACTTAGCAGCGGGCCAAAGTCCTCCAACAATGGCTGAGCCCTTGTACTCATATATTTAAGTCCCATCCAGCCAGTAGGAAATTCCAAAGAAACAGGCATAGTCAGTTGGATGTACTGTAATGCGGGTGTGCCTTTAATGAATGTGCAGAGGTTATACGGATCAATTGTCCATTTGATTAATTCCCCTTGCAGGAGGGAATTAAATGTACTTAGGCTACACACCAGCAAAAGCTGAACGCTCTTTAAAATGTGATTTGCTGTGTTGAGGCTAATTTTTTTCTGGTCAAAACATACTTGAGATAATAATGGAAGTCAGTGAGAAAATGGAATTTGCCATATAAATATTCACTACATACTCATTTGTAAGAAATGCATCTAATGTGCAAAACAAAGTCAAGGTCTACATAGTATTTGCCATTATCTGCAGCAAACCTTTGATTCTTATTTGCTCATTTCATAAAATAGGTGATTATTTCCTGTTTTAGAAATAATTCATTGTCCAAACTTCATCCTTTCCCTCTATGAAGCATTCAACATTAGCGTATGAGAGACTTCCACATCCCAGCGAGGCAATTATCTTTTTCAATTCCTGGGCAGGTGTGAAAACACAGTCAAAAGAAAGGTCTTGTACTTTGTATTACCGGGAATAATAATGTCTGATTTGTCAGCGGAAAGGAAGGAAATACTCTGGGTGGTATCGGGAAGCTGGGGCACAGATGCAGAGGCTGAGAGCGCACATCACCGCACGCACTCCGGGAGTGTTTGCTGAATACCTCTGATGTGGGGGACACAGGGCTGGGTCCAGGAGGTAGAGCCCTGGGCAAATCGAAGTCATTGTTATCACGGAACGTGAAGTCCAGAGTGAGACACGGACATCAATCAAATTACTCAAATGTACAATCGCTTCATTGTTCTGTCCCAAATGATATAAATTCCCAAACTATTAGGTCATATCCCAAGGCAGGTAGAAAAACTCACAGCAAAAGAGAACACTAAATCAGATTTCCTTCCTGTTTAGGGTAGGTGTCTTGCTGAGAATCACTAGAAAAACAAAGACACAGGGGAGGATCCACTCTGAATGTAGCTTGAGGTGGGAAACCTGTTCCTTTAACCCACACTAATGAACCTCTCCAAGTGAGCCCAAATGAAGCCCAAGGACAACCCTTAAGGTGCTGAAACCCTCAGGGCTGCTGCTGCAGGCTTTACTGTCCCAGCTGCAGAGAAGCCTGCATGTTCCCCCAACAGACCTTATCTGCCTCCCATCCTGAGCTGAGGGAGGGAGGAGGGTCCGCCCCCAGCTGGGAGCAGAGCACAGAGTTGGTGCTCCTTCTTCAAGAGCCAAGGCACGCAGAGTCCTCAGAGCCCTCCTCTAAGCCAACCTCCGCTTCTTGATTCTGCCTGTTCTTATGGTCTGGGTCTTCAGTATTGGACCTCCATTCTACAGATGTTAATTCAACATGTACTAGATGCTGGTGACATAGCAATAAATAAGACAAAGGTCTCTGATTGAAAAGAGTTCACATTGCAAAGGGGAATGCTTCCAATCAGCAAGCAAGCAAGATCATTTCAGAATGTGGGAAACGTCAGGAAGAAGATAAATAGAGGATCCATCATGATTATTGCTGAGTGTGTGTGTGTGTGTGTGTGTGTGTGTGGTGGGAGAGGTTGTCTTTTAGAAAGAGTGGTCATGGGAGGTTTCCTGAGAACTGAGACTAGAACAAAAAGATGAGAGGCCAACAGTGGAACAGAAAGCATGGGGAAGGGCATTCCAGGCAGAGGGAACCACGCGTGTTAGGGGCTCCATGTGAAAATGATTTTAAGAAAGGACGCCAGTGTGGCAGAAGTGCAGGAATGAGGCATCAGGGCAGCGGGCAAGAACAACTCAGTCCCACGGGGAATTCATATTTCAGTCTAAGTGCACCGGGGAGCAACTGGAGTTACTAATGTGACCTCTATTGGTTCTCACAAAAAAGAGGCACAAGAGCAACTGGGAGTGATCTGTAAGGGATTCTGGGTGAATGAAATCAACGAAAAGCACAGAGGGAGATGAACCATGAGGTCTTAGTCTATGAATGACGTTGGTATTTTCAACTACTTTGGATTTCCCACACTCCTATTCATTCCAGGAACACAGTGATTACAATTTCGCTAAATGTCATTTGGAAACATACCTGAGGATTTAACCAGAATACAGGTGGCAACACTTCACATAAGCATACAAAAAAGTTAAGTAAAAGAGGGCACAGATTCTATTTGGCTATTTTAACATGCATAACTTAAGACAATGTCTTCATTACTGACCAGTCATTTATTTAGGGTGAGCCAGCTATGCAAATAGGCAACTCTTCTTGGAATAGAAGAGATTTTGTGCTCAACGGAATTACAAGGGGAAGGGGCACCAGTTCTTAACAGAAATTACAGAAATCTCAGCAGAATTAAAACACCATTTCTCACATGGTCCATGACCTTATCCCATTCATCTCCTCTCTCCTTTGCACATGTTCTACTGTCAGATAAATCTTCATAAGGTACAGTTTCATCATTTTTACTCCTCTGAGGAAAAATTTTCAATAGTTCACCACTGCTTACTGGATAAAAAATATATTCTTAACACATTATAGTCTGACTCCATCTTCCTAGACTTATGACCAACTACCTCCACCCAAATCAGGAGTCTGTTTCCTCTTCCAGGAACATGTCATGAGTTTTCTAATTTCCAGGCCTTTGCCTATAAAATTCCATTTTCCAGAATCAGTAGTTCTTAACTTTTAGGGATCCTCAACCACTTTAAGAATTGGTGAATGATAAAGATCCTCTCAATAGAACAAGCACACAGATTTCTGCACAATTTCATGGATACCGTGACAGCCATCCTATTGGAATCTGACACATCTTTTAAGGCCCAGATCACATACGTCTCCTCCCTGAAGTATTTCCAGTCCTATTCGCTTCATCCCACAGTGGCTGTGTCCCTCTGTGCTCATAGAGTTTACTTGCTTGGATACTTAATTGGATAAGTCACTTGCTTGGATATTTTATGGCTTTAAGCCCTCTTTTATACTATGGCCTTGAATGTTTCTACTTTGTGCTATTTAAATTTTTATCTACATATGTCTGATTTCTCTCACTAGAATTGGAGTTTAAGGGCAGAGAATGTTTTAGTCATCTTTGTATTCCCAGTGACTCATTCAGTGTCTGGTGTGAATTCATTAAAAAATGAATTAATATGAATGACAAAGAATATGGTTCCCTAAAAAATTAAAAACCCCATTCATGGTAGAGACTACCTTGCTTTTATCTGTGTGTTACCAGAGTGAGAGGGGTGCTGAATAAATGTGGCCATTGAATAATAAGAAAATAGCATTAGGAATCATTCACTGAGCATCTATACACCAAACTCCTTAAAACTCATGTGTGGTGTGAGATGAGGAGACCAAGAATTAGGTTCAGGTTTCTCATGGATAAGCAGCTGGAATGTGTTAGAACTGGTGTTAGAATTCAGGTGTGTATGACTACCTAGTAGTTCCTCAGGAAGTCCCAGTGGCCTTGACCCGGATGGCCACTGGGTGGCCTGAGCCAGACAGCAGTAGGGCTCTCTGTCAGTGCCTGATGCCCACACTCACCTGTCTGTCAACGGCGTGATCACCAGGCGAGGTGTATTTCCCAAGTACTCTTAGGAATATTGAAACTGGGCATCACAGATGTTAGCGAAGCAGTGCTTGGCTTCATCATCCCAATGGTGCCGCAGCTGGGACAGCCAGAGGAAGGCCTGGGCATTATCCACCTGGAGAGAGTGGCAGGGGCAGAAGAGGTGGGTGAGCCACAGGTTAGCAGGTAGTAGGTGGCCCCTTGGCCACAGGACACACAGTGCACTGACGGACTTGGCTGCTGTCTCTAGACACAAGCACAGCACCCTGTGCCCACAGCGCAGAAAGCATGAGCTGCTCTGATCGCATTGTTTTGCTGGGGTTTTAAAAGATAGGAGCAGCCCCCATGATCCTCTTGCAGCTCTCGGGCCAATGCAGAGTCTGGGGCCCCCATGTTTAGGCCATAGGTGAGCTTCTCCACAGCTAGAGTATTCATGGTATAGTTGCCCACAAACAGGGACTCACCTTCTGAGCAATCATCTTGGTCATCACATCCTGGGCATGCACATCAATGGTGCATATGGTCATGATCTTCTGCTGGTCCCCCTTGGAGAGCTGGCCAATCAGCATGGTGATGAGGGTTTTGAGCTGGGCCACTTGCTTCTTATAATAGTCCTTCATGGCATTCTCATAGCCTTCCTCCAGCCTGGTAAATGCAATGCCCACCTCTGTGGTCCACCAGATCTGAGTGCAGGTCAGGGCTACCTGTAGCACCAAGAGGCACTTAGTAAGCCATTGCCAGGACTGTCTCCACAACCAGCCCACTCATCACCCAGCAAGAGCTCACAAATAATTGTGTGGGTGACACTAGCTCCTCCCCTCCCTCTTCAACCAACATGGACTAGATGAGTGAGCCACATGCTTCTAATTCCTTGGAGAGGTGAAGTGGGAACACAGTGGGAAAAAAGCACTTTCTGCCCTTGCAAAATAGATCACTTGGTTGAGAACAATCTTATCTACTCCTACTGCTTCCATTACCACCAATATCTGTAGCTCCCAGGAGAAGGGAGGGGTGGTGCATTACAGCCAGAGTCATTTTCAAAAATTCTCATCAGTTCTCCCCTCTCTTATTACCTTGCTGAGAACCCTGTAAAGGATTCAGATGTGTCTTAGAATCCTGTCAGACTCCCTAACATGGTCTGAAGAATTGGCTTTGAGTTTCCTCTCGAGTCCATCTCCTGCTTTAAGCTCCCGGTCCTTCCCTCACTCTTTCTTCAAACACACCGAGTTCCTCTCCATTCCTCAAACACATTATGCTGTTCCTTGCTTCTGAGCCTTTACCCCATGCTCTTCCCTATGCTCAGTTGCTTTTTCTCTTCTCCATTATTAACTTGTTCACTCCAGTTTTAGATCTCAGCTTAAATATCATTTTCTCAGGGGTCCCGAGCCCACTAGCTAGCCATATGCTCCCAGAGTACCCCGAGTCTCTCATCCAGCCAGGTCCCATGTGAAGGGCCTGACTCCCACGCCAGTCTGCAAACTCCAGTGGGTGGGGCAGGGTAGTATTGTCTTGCTCCCTGCTTGTGTCTCTGGTACTCAGCATAGGGCTTGGCACAGATGGAGTTGGCTGGTTCAATAAGTTGAATTGTTTATATTTTTTCCCTACTGCAGCCAAAGAGGATAAAGATGGACAGCCCTTGATTCTCTGAGGGATTGTTTGGATTAGGTCATGGCTGACAGTCCAACTCCTTCTGGCTGATCCCTCACAGGCCCAGTGAGTCACGTGTCTGGCAGCCACTGAAGGCAGAAGGAGGTCAAGCTAGCAGAGGATGGGGGCCCACAAGGTCCTGGGTGGGAGACCACCTGAGCTGGGTAGTCAAAGAGCCACTGCTCCCTCGGCTTTTCTTCATATGCAGTTACACCTTCTGTCATCTCGTGCCTTACGCTGGCCTTCCTTTGAGCAAGCACGTGGTTCAACCATATTTCCACCTGAAAGAACAACTCTGACTTAGATGCTGGGTTCTTAAGAAGATATGATCAGTAATATGCATTTTTGTCCATTCAGCCTGAGGGAGTGAAGAGAACGGAGCCCAAGCATGATGTATAACCCCAAAGGGCAGCCAGAAGGCACAGGGACACATTTTGTTTGTGTAACCCAGATGGTGATAGGTGAGAACCAGGCTGTTAGCATCAGCTGGTGGTGCCCATTTAGAACCTGCAGGACAGTAGCAGGTGAAGGGGATGGGGGGCTGCCATCTAGAGTTCATACAAATCTTCATCTGGGTTGAGCTGGGTGTAAATAAGTCAGTGGATTCTCATGACCTTGTTCACACTGAGTATGGAGAAGTAAGCCAGGCTTACGTTTTTCAACTAAGTGCTTTCCGGGTCTGCAGAAAGAACACATTCTGAATCAAACCCCAGGGTCCTCTCATAAAACTGAGAATGTCCAATTCTTTTCTTGTACTACAACTGCCTTCCAAGATATGGATGGTAGAAGGTGGGCCTCTATTAGGAGATCCTCTCTCCAGGTATTACTTAGGACTAGACTAGACCCTCCAGGGGTAATGCTCTGTTGGATTATTTAGGATAATGAACAAAGAAGGGATTATATTTTAGTGGCAGTGGCACCAGACAGGAAGGAGACTTATGGAGAAAATTGTTGCATGCTTTGTGTTTCCTGAATTATCATGGGAGATTTGGAAGTAGTAGTTCTTGGAGCAGGGTGGTAGTTGGCTCTGTTAGGGGTAGGGCTATGGGAGGAAGTGGCTCCGAGGTGTATTTTCACAGAGAAGTGGCATCTCAGGACAATGGCTGATGGCAAAGGGCATTTTCTCCCAGGGAAGATGTCAGGGTTCCTGACTTCCTGGTGGGGTGCCCCAGGGGCTGTCATTGTAAAGTCTCCCAGTGCTGCCAATCATTGAAAAATCCTTTTCTCGTTGACTCAGGTGGTTGTTTACGTGCATATTACTCCTCTCTGCGGGGGTCTTTGGTTGGGGAAGGTGTATGAATCATGACATGTGTCCTTCCCAGAGAGAGTAAAGCGGATGCTAGAGGCTGCTCCAACATCGGGTCAATGGAGGGAAGCTGGCAGTCCCAGGGCACAGACAGCAGTTCTGGTGCAAGGTCAAACAGGTCATCCTGCAGGTTGATGCTGACTGTATTTGAATGCAGACCACTGAGACAGAGAAGACATAAGGAGAAAGGACTTTTACGTTACCTGACCACTACAGTCACAAGGCTCACTGAAGGCCACGTACTCTTCTTCCTTGCTGTACATGCCAATACTTATCTTGGTTGGTCTCTCACTGGCATCTAGCTGGAACTGCATCTTGGCCATACTGTCAAAGGGTTTGGAAAGGTGGCGTTGAACCTATGAAGGGACACCATGCCAAAGGATTGGAGAATGTGTCCAGGGATTTACTTAGTAGTATTTTTGAGAGAGCTACCATGTGATAACTGTTACTGTATTGGATACCAAACATTTAGAAGGAAGCCTGTAGGAACAATGATGACGTGAAGTCAGGAACCAACTGAATTGGGCAGAAGTGGCCAAAGAAATAGAAAACTAGCAGGAATCATGGACTAGCTACAAACCAATGAAGCCATAAAAGTTTGATTAACTTCTGCTTAATCTACTAAAGATGGGAACAGGTTGGAAGAAAAAGTAATGGCTAATTCATAAACCCTCTTCCTAAGAAAATACTACTATGCAGCAGGAGAGAGGCACAGGAGAGTCTGCAGAAGAGCACTACCACGCCCAAATCCAGAGGGCCACAGGGCAGTGGTGACAGTGGCCTATGGAAGAAGTCGCCCAGTTGTTGGAACTGCTTTGATGAGACAGACCAATATCTGGAGGATCCATAGAAGGGCAAGCAGGCTCACCCCAAGCAGAAGGCCTGGCCATGCCAGGGCTTCTCCCTAGCCCAGTATCTCTCGGTACAAGCCCCTTAGGGATGCCCCGAGAAGGACTTCTAGGAGGGAGGCTAGGTAGAGCCACACTATGGTCTTGAAGGGAGGGAAAGGGCAGGTTGGAGAGGAAATAAACAGAAACTGGCCTTCTGGTAGGGCTTTTAGAAATACCAGATCCTTCAGGCTGCTGGGATCCTGAATTGTGATCTTGAATTTAGAATAACCAGGTTTGTGGCTTATGAGCTTGAGAAGAATTCAAAGTGTAATGAAGTAAACTGTGAAGGTGCTCAAGAAGATCCCACCCATGGGGATTCGGGGCAAATATCTTGGTGGCATGGGTCTTTCTTTATCCAAGAAGAAATAGTGAATTTAAAAAAAAAGAAAACCACCACCACTAATGTTGGATCTACCTGCAACTTAAAAGAGGATTTAAGTGACAGAGCAAGAGTATATAATTATTTACATACATGATTTTATTATTACATTATATTATGAGCATATATATTAGAAGCTTTACTAAAGGAAATAGGGGTAGTTAGGAAAATATCACACTGTGCTGTTTTCAATTAAATGCAAGAAACATGAACTTTATGAAATATGAGCTGAAAGATAAGTTGGTAGAGGTGGAGAAATAAAGCAACACAGTAGTTCTATACTAATATTAGCAATACTGAAGGACTAAGTGACCCAAAATTAAACATGGTGGATAAACATGGGAAACTGTGGAAGAATGCCAAAGAGGAGGACTAAGAGATAAAAATATGTACAAGTATATGAAGGAAATACATGTGGCGCAGAGAAAATAGAATTTCAACTTATGGAAATAGGATGAACCTGAAGGAAAAAAAAAGTCCAGATAAATGGAATATAAATGTTACTTAAAAGCATACTGAAAGAAAACTTTTTTAAGATAATGAAAGCCCTAGTTTTCAGATAGGAAAAAACCTCAGTGTATCTTGGGAACATTAACAAAATAAAGCAAATGTATAAACATAAAAATTTTCTAAACATTTAATTGAAATTTTCATCTCCATAGAGATCCAAATAGAAAGAAATTAGGCTTCCCAGAAAGGTGAAATTAAAAGGCAGGCAGTCTGCACAAGTCTTCTGTGAGACACAGCAGAGCTATGTCTGCAGGGATTTGAGGGGAAATTGCTGTGAATTCCAACCCCCAACATTCAATCACTTCCATGTGAAAACTACAAAGAGTCACAGATATAGAAGGAATTGGGAATTACTCTACCATGCTTCATCTCTGGGGACATAGGGAAGGGGCAACTACGCATAGATTTACTCAAACCAAGTGAGAAAAAAATAAAATAATATATTTGAGAATGAGTACCTTATGTACAAAAGATATAAAAGGTCTGACAATGATCTTTGGCCCTCCTATACATAGACTTAATAAACACATAGTTACAGAAACAGAATGCTAATGTGATAAATATTTCAACTCCACCATGCCTGGGCTACTTTGTAAACACTGAATCTATAGGGGAAAAAGAAGAGAGGCTTTAATTATCAGGGATAAAGAGACAGAGAAAGCTCTCCCTTTATTACTTACCAACAATCTAAAAATAATTTCAGTAAGTGAGAAAGTCACTGACAAGGACAGAAAACTAATGCATTGGTGCCATCTTTTGGCTCTGCTGGAGAAGGTCTCATCCATTACTGGTGGTACAAAAGGCTGCAATTCCTATAGAGGGGATTATGTAACAAGACCACATCATTTACCCTATGACCCAGCAATCTGGCTTCTGGAAATTTACCTGGAAGATAGACCTCCAACAATACAAACCTCAAAGTTATTCAATGCCAGTTATTTGTAATGGTAAAACAGTATTAAAAACCTATGGTATATTAGTCCATGGAGTTTGATGCAGATGAGAAAGATATCTTTGAATTGATGCAGAGTGGTGTAGGGAAAATGGAACATCCTACAGCTAGGATCCTCACCTGAACCTAAACTACTTGATGATGGAACCAGCCTGCTGCTAAGCTACCGCTTCTACACCTGTACACAAGGAGCTATTATTGACTGAATCACTATATAAAGACTTCTGGCCGGTGCTCTGGTCAGAAGCAGAGATGAAGGAGGATTATGGACCTGCAGACTGCTGGATGTGGATGTAATTCTAGTGCTTGAACTACTGCTGGGAGAGTAAAGCCGTGTATAAGCCCTTTTACCCCAAGACCGCTAGGTTGTCATTTCTTGGTCTCACTGAAACCATAATGAACTTGCCCAGGGCTGAAACCCCCAGGCAAGGCAGGTGAGAAGGGATGAAAGCCAAAGGCACCCTCAATAGGGATGCCATAGCTCCCCTCCCATCAGCTTTTCTGATGTTCAGACCTTTGATACATAGCAGTGGTTTTCAAAGTGTGTGCTGAGACCAGCAGCAGTGCTTGGGGAATCCTTACAAATGCAAATTATTTAGCCCCACCCAGACTTACTGAATCAGAGACTTTGGGGCAGGCCCTAGGAATCTGTATTCCTACAAGTCTTCCAGATAATTCTGTTGCCCTCTCAAGGTTAGAACAACTGTCTACAGCTCCAAATAATAACAGTGAGTGCTTCAATTAGTTACTTTACTATGTTCTGAAAACCTGTAACACAGTAGGCATCTCCCATTCCACAGATGAGGAAAGTTCTTCAAAGAGAAGTGGTACATCAAAGACTATATGGTTCCCAAGTGGCTAGAACCAGGGGCTAGAACCCAAAAGTTTGGACTGCTCACATCCACTCCTTCCACAACCACCCAATGTCCAGTTAAGACAACTTCCAAGCTTATCTCCCAATGGAAATTTAAGCTCTAACTTTGGACCCCAGTTCACTGGACCCCTCTTTATAATGAAATCAACAGCATTCTCTGTAAAAGCTTAGCTCTTTCCACCTTTGCCATCCTCAATGCTTCTCCAGTTCTACTTTGGGGAGCCATCACCCCTGATAGGCTGGAGGGCCCCGAGGAAGCCATGATGGGGGATGAAGCAGCTCTGAGGTTAGGGATGATGCTGGTGGCAATGCAGGTCTGATACTCTGGCAACACTGCCAGAGAGAGGAGTCATCATGCGGAACCCGTACCTCTCCCGCTGGGAGCTCCTGAGGCCTTCTGGACATTTCTACAGGTGCTCCCTCAGCTTACCTGTTGTGGAGCTGTGCCGTTGGAAAGGATGTCTAACAAATCAGAAGAAGAGAGAAAGTAAAACCTAGGGAAGGCAAGCCTTTTGGTATCCAGGTACTCTGCCAGGGCTTTCTCACACAGGTACAATCTGAGGGCACAGACACAGAATTCCTAATTAAGCTTGCCTAGGTGCATAGATACACAGACCTTGATGTGAACATACACAATATATGGAATACATGCAGAAATAAGTGCAAGAAACATAGGTATTGCAAACATAAATGCTGATACATTTCCATCAGAATGAACACCCCACTATTACCAAATCCAGGCACACACAGAAACACACGTACTCACTCTTTCACTTGGGCAGTTAAATAGGTCAGGAGCTCAGAGACAGAATGGGGAGAAGGGAATATCATCTCCTGCATTACAAGAGGGGGCAGCTAACAGACCATCACCTGCTCTGAATATCTTCCAGTTTTTCGTAAAGACCTGCTTTGGTGGTGGCTTCCACTACATTCGGAGTTTTCTGAGCATCATAAGCTAGCTCCTTAAAGTCAGCGTCAATCCCTTCAAATCTTTTAGAATCCTGCAAATAAAAATGTGGAAAAACATTAACTACCACCCCCCTCAGTTCCAAAGTCTCCCCTTCTGAGGCAAGTCAGGAGCAGAAACCTGTTCTTAGGTTGTCTGAAGATGCTAAGAAAGAGATACCTTTTGTCTCCAATGGCAGTTCTCAAACATTTTTGTCTTCAAACCCCTTTACCCTTTTAAAAACACTGGAGAGTATGAAAAGCTTTTCTGTATGTAGGTGTTTCTTTTGTCTACCAATACAGTTTTCTACATTAGCAGCTAAAGCTGAGAAATTTAAAAAATATTTGTTAATTCATTTAAAAAGTAACAATATTAAGCTCATTGTTAACATAACATGTTCTTTTATTCAAAATAATTATATTCCCCCAAACAAAATAACTTAGAGAAAAAAATGGCATTGTTCCTTTTCTTCTCCTTTCTTTATTGCAAATCTCTTTAATGTCTGACTTTAATGAGATGACTAGATTCACTTCTCTGCTTCTGCATTCAGTGTGTTGTGATAGCATATGTCATGCAACCTCTGAAAGACTCCCCTGTATGCTCATAGAAGAATGAAAGTCTAAAGGGAAAATAACATTTTAACATTATTATTAAGACAGTTTTGACCTCGACTTTTGACTCTTGGAGGTCACTGGACCATACTTTGAGAAATGTTGGCATCAAACACAGAACTCCTAAGTCAGGTAGATAGTGGATCCAGTATTATTTGTGGGTCCATACAGAAGTTTAGGCAACCAAAATTTTTCCTCAGCACTTGTGATGTCAGAGTTAGATGTCATCATTTTTCCCAAACACACATCCCCCCAGAGTGTTGTTGAAATGATTCTGACAATAACATATGTAAAGCACTTTAGCTCAATACCTGGTACCTAGAGTTTGTGGTATTATTATTACTATATATCAACAGTTACAAGGGTATGTGCTCTGTGCACTGTTTTAATTGACTCCCTGAAAGAGGTACTAGTATTAGTCTCAGTTTACATCGGAGGAAACCAGGGCACAGAGAGGGTGACTTTCTTACAACCCCATAGCTGCAAGTGGCAGCATTCGGACTCAGGAGCATGCTGCCGGCCCTGTCTGCCCCAGACCTCTGTAATCCACCCCTGTCCAGGAAGACTTAGACTAACAGGGCCACGTAAAGTGAATTACGATTCCCTAATGAGATACTTGGCTCCAGTTACGGGTGGAAAAGGTATCAAGGTTATAGAAGTATTGTAAATACCGGCATAAATGTTAAAATGAAAAAGAGCTGAATTGAGAGAACTATAATTACACCAATAGCAATTATGTAAAAATATGTATATACATAAACAAAAATTGGGAAATATTCTTAATGAATGAAAATAGTTACTAATTAGGTTGTAAGATGACTGATTTTGTTTTGAGATTGTCTCTATTATCATTTTGTTAATACAAACACATATTAACATATTTTACACACACATTTGTGGCACTGTTGAGCAGTTAATGATACTGATTCTTTATTGTATTTCATTGAAAGTCCTCAAATGCCTCCATTAAAGTCTTCACCTCCTTATAATTAAACCTGCTCTTCTTCAATCACTAGCACTGGAGATAAGTAAAACCTGGCTTATTCAATTTGGCCTAATTACAAAAGCTCTGACAGAATTGTTTTCTGTTAGTTTCCACTCCAAATGTGCAACCTTTAATCTGTATTATTACATTAAATATGCTTTTGTGGGATGAACTGGGAAAATAAAATGTTTTGATGGAATGTGCTTTAAACTTTTTAGCAAGACCTGGACATCATTAGACAATTTGGAATTAAACTAATTTGGAAGCAAAGACCTTGCTGTGCAGAAGGGAGCCAGAGAAAGCCTGCCAAAAAAAAAATTCTTTTAATGAGTTAGAATCCACTGAAGGGGCTAAGTTAATGGCACGTTAATTAGGACTAATTAGAAAGAGCTATCAACCACAGGGAAGGTAGCAAAGAGAAGGACGCATATTTTAGAGAAATTCCATGTTCTGTATTTAGCTGAAGACTGGTATTTACCATTTACCATGTGGCACAGGCCAGAGGGTTACAGAACAGCTTGCTGCTGAGAAGGAATGTGAATATGCTTGGAAACAGTGCTCTCTGCCAATCAATAGCTGCATTGTAATCATCGATGGGGCAACCCATGAGCAGCTCACCACAAACTGCAGTAGCAAAATATTTTCTCTCTCTTCTCTTGTGTACATGGGCTTTTTAGAATCCAGGTTCTCTTTTGCCCACCCATCCAGGGACAAACTGACTGGTGTGCATTTCACTTTCTTTCTTTTCCTCTGCCTGAGTTTTGGTGGCTCGTGAAGCAAGCATTTGTTGAGTAAGGCCAAGGCAGGCAGCAGAGAAGGAAAGGTTTAGAGGACGAAGAAACTGGGTGCTCTTCCCTTGACTCGGGAAGGAAACAGAGGGCAGGGTTTCCTTAGCAAGTACCTGGGGCAGCTGAGCCCGGATATCGTCAGATCCAATGAATATACTCTCCAGATGAGACCACGTGCGCTGCACATCAAACCAGATAGCGATGACAGCATCAGCTATGGACAGCTTCCTCTGCCAGCCCAACACTTCCTCTAGGAAGAAAGCAACATACTTGGACGTCATCAGGTTCTGAAGCTGCACTTGGTTATCCTCCAGGACCTCAATGAGGCCTTCATCCGACCGCAGCAGGGGGACGTTGGTCCGCAGGTGGGGCTCGTACTGGAACTCCATGCTGGCCCAGGTGGCCCGCAGCTCCTTCAAGGTCTTCTCCATCCCCATCTCCTTCACTGCTTTGTCCACAATGCCCCAGACCTTGTCCTCAAAGCAGTGCAGCTGGAGCTGCAGGAGCTGTGCCAGTGTCGTGCCCTCGCCCACGGTGAAGCTCACACCCGTGGCCTGCATCAGCTGCCCCCAGTGCCGCCACCGGATGGCCGGATTCTGGAGCTCAGCCACAGCCCTCAGCGAGGTCAGAGTGTTCAGCACAGTGCTTTCCAGGCCCGTGAAGGCATTCCAGGCCCTGACTTCCTTGTCAAGGTTCCGGATGTGCCTGGCAAACTGCTTGCACTCCACGTCCATGGCCTCCACATTGATATCCCTCCACATGGTGGTCTCCCAGGCACGGATGCTGGAGGTCACCACCCCAGCGGTGTCCCAGAGGTCCTTCAGCTGGCAGACCTCCTTCCTGCACTGCTTTAGCTGCTTGTAGTCTGGAACGCTAACCTCAAACAGGCTGGCAGACTTGGCAGTGGAGGCCATGGTCATTTCCATCTGCTGGATCTTAGTGTGCCAGGCATCCAGCATTTGATAAGGGTCAATGCTGTCAAATCTACAAGACACAATGTGTTTCCTTTGTAAGTACAGCACACTTATTAGTAATATTATTGCTCTACAGGCCCATTTCCTAGGATCACCAAAGTACTACCAACTCCAATATTTACTTTTTATTTTTAGTTGAGTGAAGTTGACATATAATATTATATTGGTTGCAGGTGTACAACATGGTGTTTCAACAATTATATTCATTATAAAATGCTCATCATGATAAATGTAGTTACCAAATGTCAACATATGAAATGATGAAATAATTGACTATATTCCCTATGCTGTACTCTTCATCCCCATGACTTACTTATTTATAATTGGGAGTTCATCCCTCTTAATTCCCTTCAACTATTTTGCCCATCCCTGCACTCCTCTCCTCTATGGCAACCATTATTTGTTTTCCATATCTATGTGTCTGTTTCTGTTTTTTTGTTTGTCTCTTTGTTCTGCTTTTCAGATCGTACATGTAAGTGAAATCATATAGTATTTGTCTTTCTCTGCTTGGCCTATTTCGCTGAGCACAAACGCTTAGTATTTGAGCAAAGAGCAGTGAGTTTCACCAAAGCCTGGGAAGAAAAGATATGCAGGGCAGGTTGGAGTAGAGTGAACACAACCCACTGGAGGGAAGACACTCCAAGAGGAACTCCCTGCTTGGATCTTTTCTTCACTTCTGAGAAGGTAAAAATGCTCCCCTTCTCCTCCACCTCCCCCAACCCCTTATCCAGGGTAGAGGGGAGTCATCCCTTTGTTTGAGCCCCCTTCAGACTCCGCTGCCACTCACTGGCTTCCAGACGACTTGATACAAAAGAGCACCGCAGATGCTAAAAGCCAAAGCCTGCCAGGAGCTGCTAGTGGGAAGTCGTCTTTAAGCGAGAGGGCTGGCACTTAAAAGTCCAGCACTGACCCCATCTGGCATTGCTTCCTCTTGAGCAGTGGCTCTCAGTCTTGGCTGCATATTAGAATCTTCTGAAAGCTTTAAAATCTCCATGCCCAGGCTGCTCCCCAGATCAATTAAATCAGAATATTTGGGGCTGGGGTGTGCGCAATGGCAGTTTTCAAGCACCCCGGATGACTCCAATGTGCTCTGCTGGTGTCCTTGTCTGTGGTGAGACTCATGCTGATGGCCTGCAGTGCTTTCCTCCAAGTCTGAGGACCTCTGCTGGGAGCCTTGGAGAACACAAAGCCCTCAGCAAGGCACTCCACAGTCACCATCAGTTTCCTTCACTGTGTGCCTCAGCTCAGGCTCCTCATCTAAGTCCCTTCTCCAGGCTGTGCTCAGCCTCCCCTCTGCCCTCTCTGGTCTGCTCTGCCTACATCCTGGGGCGGCCCCTGGGTCTGCACTTGCCCCAATAAATACTACATCTAGCTTTAGAGTTTCAATTCACGCCCCCTCATCCTCTTTTCTCCAACGTGTATGGCAGGTGTCCTCTGCTCCTGGTGCTCAGCAGCATTAACCTACTCGATGCTGTCAACCCATTCAGACCTGCTTTTCTGGTATGGCCTCTCCATGTAAGAACTCTACATACAAAGGAACCCACATGCACAGATAATGTTTCTGTGGCCAGGAGCACGCAGAACCCAGTGTTCAAGGAGCCTCTCATTTTCCTCTGCAATCTCTCTTTACACTTTTTCATCATCACCTCTTTCAGGTTTTCTTGTTTCTATGTGCTTGGGTTAGGTACTGGGGACACCACGACTTACGTGTGAACACTGTGTTCCTCTAAAATCAGAATAGGGCATCCCAGGGTCCATCCTCAAGGGGAAAGTTGAGAGGACATGAATGACTAGAGAACTGGCCATTTCCTCCAACTGAGTGTGCGTATCTGTATGTGTGTATTGGCTGGGGGGATGTGGGGGAGAGGGGAGGGGAGAAAGGAAAAGGACGGCATACAAATTCCCTTTCTTGAACTGCCTCTTCTCTCACTCCTCTTTGGAAATATTGGACTTGATGGATGGAAAGTGATCCTAATTAAAGTCATTTACCTGAACTGCTCACCACTTAAGCCTAATTGCCATGCAACACAATAACAGTTATGCATACCATTAAATTAGTGTCAGATTAACTTTGATGCTTGCTATGTTTGATTCCGCTTGTTCCATCTAAATAGTTTTTGGCCCTTGTGTTATGGTGGTGGATTTACTCCTCACTGGAATGAGGCTGAACAACAGTGCACGTCTTCACTGTTCTCCAGCTGCCAGCTGTCTCAGAACAGAATATGAGTTTGGAGATGACAGAGCTGAAGAGGGCCCTTCATCTATATAGGCAAGGAACCCTCTCCCCCATGAGAACAGTGGAGAAAGAACTAGAAGGAAAGAAATGTAACATCCTCAAGGCAAGCGGTCCAGCAGGGAAGATCACCATACCTGAATGGTCCTGCTTATTCTTAATTTCCAGAGACTAATTGTCACTGTGTAGGTTCTACTTTTTATCTTGACTGCAGTGAACTTAGCCTCTTGGTATTAGCACAAGATTGACTAGACAAATTCTAGTAGCCCACATGCTGTTTAATATATTAATGGAGTAAAATTCAAGAATAACTTAATAGGTAAGATATGCACTATTAGAGTTTTGGGGGTGCACACAGAAGAAGACAAATGATCTTCCTAACCATTCCTTCCTCACCACATATGAACATCCTTAAATCAATATTGGTTCCTCAAATATTTGTAAGAGGTGAGCATTTGTCAAACCTATCCCAAACTTCATCTACCCTGTGGCATAGTTTTTGTTTATAGTTTAAATTTGTGGACAGTAATTTCCTGCAGCTAAGCACACATAAAAGTTAATTCAGCCTAAGTAGTGAAAAGGACTTCTGGACATGAGGGCAGGTAACATTTTTCCCATTTAAACACTGTAGTGTGAATTGTCAGGATAGCCACAGACCTGATTAATGTGCCTAATAAACTACAAGTGGTTCTCTAAACCCAGGGGAGCAATACAGTACAAAAACAAGAAAGTAATAGGAGGGAAAAGGGTGTACTAAGTCTTTGAAATTGAAATAATAATGCAAAAGTATTTTAATCTAAAAGAGAAATGTCTGGAAAGTCTGGATGAAAACCATATTTAAGAGAGATGGAAATAGTGTGTTCACGCATGTGATCTTGGAAAAATGACTGATGTCAGCCTGACCTAGACTTAAATTGTTTTGTGGGAAGCTAGTAACTGGTAAAGGTTAACCTAAGCACCATACATGTATACAATGAATGATGACACACCTCTGCTTGATACCCCACAGGTACTGTACAACTCAGCACATCTGATCTGAACTTGTGTTCTTTCAGCTCTTCCCATCCTGTGGCCCCCATCTGTGTGAGCAGTGGAACAGTCCCTTCCAATGACTTGTCCAAAATGGAAGACAGAGAACAAGTGGCTAATTCTCAAGATGGCTCCAGCACCCTCTTCTAGGGGGTGTGAACTGCCTCCCAGTGGGGGTTGAAGTTGGCATCCAGTGAACATGACCACTTACTCATTTTTGAAACTGTCCTGAGGCTGTAAGTCCTTGAAGTCAGGGACTGTGTATTACTTTAAAATCCTAGCCCTTACATCATTTTTGCTGACTCCACTGTTGAGACCACAGCCTCTTTTGTTCCATGGAAGCCTGAATCATGTGAATGAGTCAAATTAGCTGGAAGAACAGGGTCAAGCTAAACTAGTCTAAAACTAGTCTAATGAACTATAGATATGTCCCTGGGAGATTTAATAACCCATGTTGCTTTTTTCTCCAGTGATTGAAGAGATGGTAGACACTGTCCAAGTGAGACAGAGGTCCTTCTTCCCTCCTGTGTGCTCTGTGGGCTATTTGGAAAGCCTTGCTTTCTCTAGTCATCATGCGGGATAGTACCCAATGGGAAGAGGTCTTAAAGAAGGCCCCCCAGCTATTGACAGAATCTGGTTGCCAGCCAACTAAAACCACTAATGTTCCCCATTAAGCTGGAGCCTGCAGGGGTCAAATGCTTTGGCTAAGAAACCCCTGAGTTACCTTGGTCTTGAGATGGATAAGATGTCCTGGAATCATTCCTATGGTCAGGAAGACTGAACAAGAGAGTGCTGCTGGAAGCACAGAACATCCCTTTCACTCAAAGAGGAGAATTAGTCTCCAATTTTAAGAGTTCTAGAAAGCCCTTGAATCTGAGTATGATGATTTAGCCAGTTACTGTGAAGTGAAAGAGCTCAACTAGGAATATGCTGACACAGCTGAGAGTTTAGGATTAAAAGAGGAAGTAAAACGTGACTTGGACATGAAGAACCTCAACCCAAGCAATGTGACATCACCCAGCACCTGTCAGACTGCAAGGGCCTAATGAGACACTTTATTTCTTTTTCTTCCTCAAAGACAAGATAAATGGGAGCTTAACCTGTAGTCTAATCAGGAATAGACACTTGCATGCATCGAGGAATTCACCACAGGCTGCATTTTAGAAATTCGTCAATGATCTCAAAGTGAAGGAACCAGAACTAAACTCATTTGCTACTCACTGTACCTAAACATTTTAAACACACACATTCACACACACCAAACTAATAAACAAAACAAAATGAATTGACACCCATGAAGATTCCTTCATCAGTAAATCCACAATTCTGCTCTAGTTCTGAAGGTTTTCTTGAGAAGAGAAATACATCGAAATTGGAGTAATGTTTGGATTTCCACACTGCTGTGAGCAGTTCTTTTCAAAGCATTCTCTTCCAAAGATTTGTCTGCATGTCAAATTAACAGATGTGAATTTGGAAAACCCAGCTAAGGGGAGTGATATCCTCATAGCCAGCAGATAAAGTGCTAAGAAAGAGAAAAAAAATAGTGCAGCCACTAAATCAAAAAACAACAGCCAATCAATACACGTACACAATGTAACCATGAAGGAGGAATACCAGATTTCCATCAGATGACTAGCAAATGAGTATTGTCCTTTCAACCAATCTCAGAAGCCTGTTTGGGAAGCCATTTCACCAAACCATCTTGGGAATTCCTTCTTTGAAATTTTCTTAAGAGACAGTCTTAAGACAGACTAATGTCAAGGTTATTAGTATCATTACTTTTACGGCTGCTGCCATGGTGTGATTGTTA